CTTCTAAAATTTCCATTATATACATTGACTATAAATAATAAAAATTTTTAGAAAGTTTCAAGAAATTAATAATTAATTAACTTATAATTTACCCTGCGATCAATAGGAATGAATGCGCAAGATTCCTCTATATTAATAAATTCTCTACCATCAACAATTTTAAAAATCTCAAGTCTCAAATCATCATCCTTTTCTCCATTGTTATCATTTTTGTTTTTTTCTTCCTGCTTATTATAATGATTTTGATTTCCAGTCATTATTTTTATTTTTTAAAAAATTGAATTCATCTATAATATTTATATTGCATTACGTTGTAGATTTTAATTGAGAAAAATTAATTGCTGTATGAAATATGGTTTCATTCAGCGTGGGGAACATATGATTTTTATCAATCATACTTTGGTTTTATCACGCAAAAAAAGGAAATTTGATCCGAACCAATTGAACCAATTATATAAATTTAAATTTAAATTCATACAGTCCCCAGCGAAAAGAATGGAGATGGGAATGTCTTCTCTTTTTTTGAGTATAGCATTGCCATTTTCCAATTGAGATATTTATTTATTGTACTAAATTGCACATGGAATGCTATTCAAAAAACAATGAAAAAAAAAAAACCTTAAATATTGTTTTTCTGCCAAGAGGTCCGAGTTTGTCAAACAATGAATTTTCCTGATGACTTTCATGATCTCAAATTATGTGGAAAACCTAAAGGAATAAAATTAATTTTAGAAGAGCGTGAATTATGGCCAAAAGAAGGTTTAAGATTAACTTGCACTAATAAGAACATTGAAGCAAATACAAGTTATCCAAATTGTTGTGCAAGGCATAAATTATAGACAAGCACCATAAGTCAGTATTTTCAAATTCTTGATATCCTACTTAATAATTTGTCTAGAATTTTTTTAAAAGAATTAGCTTGCCTTTCAACAACAACTGTGTTGTGTTATATTGTCATGCTGAATAATAAAATGAATCAAATATATAATTATGAAAGAAAATATTTAACTTTCGTTATCTTGACAGCTAAAAGTTAGACTGAAACAATTTTACTACCATTTGGTTTCTCTTAACAATGTAATTCAAATGGCTAGTACTTTTGAGCTTTTACAACTTCCGTATTAATGAATAGCTTTCGTGTATAAGTATTTAATTTTAATTTCTTCTGATCCACTTTACTTGAAACGATACCAATGTAGTACAAGATGGAAAATACCGTCATTCAACCAAAATTATCAAGAGGCATGATGGTAAATTCGTCTTAACCTGATTACTGGTTGGTGAGAAAATGGAGAAAACGTTTAAAAAAAGGGCTAAAAATTACTAATTTTGCGCATTATTTGCAATACTAACTTTGATTAAAGTCTGAATGGAGAACATTGTCCTAATTTTTAGCTTTCATTTTAAAAAAAGAATCTTCAAATTTGTTACGTAATGAGTAAGATTAAAAAACTAAACCGCCATTCTTTTCGCCGGAGACCGTAATAAAATTTTTAGCTTAAAATTATTATGCGAAAGGTTGATTATGTATGTTTAAACATTTTCTCTTTTCGATTGTTGGAACAAACTTTACACTCTGCAAACTCATCATGTTCACATCTCCACATTCTAGTTTATTGTGGGTTTTCTTCGTGCCGTTTTTTTTGTGACGGGTTAGAATTAATTAAAACAGGCGAAGATTACGGTACTGTCATTATAGTTTCAGATGCAGGGAAGCGAAAGGGCAGAATAAGAATCGTCATTGTAAAAATCATTATTGTTTTTGAGAAAAAGAAGCTTCGACTAAATCTATTTTACTAACCCAATATTTAACTAATGTACAAATTTTATCAAGTATATATTTGGAGGCAAATTTTTATTTATCTCATGAAATAGATATATAAATAAATTATCAGATAGGTCCTATGTAATCACTGACAGAAATAAACAAACTTATTTTTGCAACTTTATATTATAATCATGTGATACAATCAGTTTATCGTTTAATAATAAGAAATATATTTGAATTAAAGAAAAAAAAATTTTTCTGCCAGTAATATGTCGGACCATCTAATAATTCATTCATCAGGTATATAGGTATCGGATACCTATAGGCAATATCCTTTTTTTCACGTGCCCGAAGGACACGTGAAAAACATATTGACCTACAGATCAGGTCGATACCTACCTGATAACAAGAACTATTCCGGGACCCTAGTAGAAGTGGAAAAATTATATTAGATAGAATCATTTTAACCATATTTAGTATCTCATTTAATGAATAGACCAGACCAAAATTTGTTGGTCTCAATGGACCCGGTTTATATTTGATGATCCTACTATAATTGATGGATGAAGTTGCTGCGATGTGAATGAACTTTGCAATACTCGTTCAAAAAAAATTAGATCTGGTACACTGTGGACAAATTTTGCCGTCACATTATGATTTGATATAACCATTTCTGTACTATTTACTAAGAAACAAAAAAAAATTTTTTATATTTGAAAATCATTGGCAGAATTTTCTTGAAAATATTTGGAGTTTTTCGGGAGATTCATGATATTTTACTGCAGTGACATCAGTTACAACGTACCCGTTAATGTGATGCATAAAGATTACAAGATTGAAATCTGCTTGCTACAATCATAGGGCTCGTACAAGAACATTGCAGGCTGTGGCTTTTCTGTGATTGGCCATATTACTTGCAGAGTGAAATTGTTTATAAAAATTCTATAAACCCAAATCAGGTAGCTTTTCTTGGAAAAAAAATTTTTCTACAAGGAGAAAAGAATATTAATTATTATTAATATTATTATTATATTGTATATTCAAAGCCTTTAACAAAGCGATCAAGTGATGATTTAATAAACATTATTGGGGCACTTTGTGTAACTAGTTATTATCTTTGCGCAATCAATGCCCCAGGTTAGAGAGAATTTGTTATCCATCAAAAAAATTTTTTGCCTAAAACATATTAACAATGAATGTAACAATGAAATTAAACTTTAAAAATTTTTACAAAATTTATTATGATTTATATTGAAAAAAACTTTCAATAATAAATGAATCATCATCATCATCTTATTAATTTACATTGTCAAAAAATCGTAAAGAACCACGGGCCAACATAAATTACTGAATGTGATTAATCAAGATGAAGTAATCAAAGATGATAGAAACGAATTAATAAAAGAATTGAAGTTTATTGTGCATTGATAATTTACAACATAACACAACATATATCTATCTATCTCGATATTTACGAAACTGCGAGTCTTATTGAATGATCATTTAAGGAAAAAAGGATGCGGGTGTTTATTTGTTTTAATTTTTCCTTTTAAAGATCAAAGGCTCTCAACAAAAAAAAAACGTGAGAATTCTAATTTATTTATATATATTGAACTATGAAGAAACATCTTTGAGAATATGAACAGAAAAAAGTTTTCTTCTCCAAATATCGAATTGATAAGTTAAGGAATTCTTTAAAATGAATTAAGGTAATGATAATAATGATGATAATAATTAGTTGCAATGTTTTATTACTAATTATTATTATTTTTTTCTTACCAAAGAACGTTAATAATATACATACGTATTTAAGTATGTATGCAAGGTAAATAAATATTCACATCTATGAAATTATCATCTTTGTTATCATTATTATAATAAAATAAAATGAAATAAAATAAAGTAAAATAAAATAAAACATATTTCAACGGGTACAATTATAATTTTTATCGAAGTTGTTAATTTAATCACGTAAATTCTATAAAGTCCAGATTTAATTATTGTAATTTTTTTAAAAAAAAAATCATTAAAAATTATCTATAATCTATTTTTTTAGGTAAATCTTGGGTACGACAAATAAATAATCAATATATATATTATTATCTTTTTTCTCATTAAGATTATTATTATAGGATAGATTTCTTTATTTTTTTTTTTTCGTATCATTATTATGTTTTTATTATATATTTTTCTTGATAAAATTTTAATCAAAATTCGTTGATTATATTGTGCACAAACAAATTTTTCGTCGTCGATTTTTCGTCAATATTTTATATGCGCGTAGAGAGATTGAAAAAAAAAATTTATGATTTTTTATTTTTATTTTTTTTTGATTCATTTATAAATATTTTTTTTTCCTGATTCTTTTTTATTATGGACTTTTCTTTTTCTTTTTTTTTCCTCAATAAATATATATTTAATATATATATACTATGTATATAAATTATTTTTTCATGATAATCGTGAATTCGAAATTTTGTTTGCTTGATGATCACTAGTTGTATTACCTAGAATTTTTAGCTATCACACAAAAAAATACAAAGCCAATTAGAATCCAGTGTCATTCAAAAATTTTTTTAAAAATGTCTAGTGGATCTAACAATTCTGGGTTTGATGGTTTTTTGCCTGGGAGAACTACCGCTACTCAGGCTATAAAAGTTGAAGAAGGTGAAATTAATCCTTTTAACGGCAAACCATATAGTAAAAGATATCGTCAACTACTAGAAAACAGACGAAAGTTACCCGTTCATCAACAAAGACAAGAATTTCTCGACTTAATACAAAGTAATCAATTCATAGTATTTGTAGGCGAAACCGGTTCTGGAAAGACAACACAGTAAGCATTCTCTCTACTCTCAAATCAATTTAAAATATTTTACCTATTTACTTTTCGTTTTTTCTTTTTTTTTAGGATTCCACAATTTCTCTGTTACGATTTACTTCCTCACATAAAAAAGAAACAAATAGCATGCACTCAACCACGTAGGGTTGCCGCAATGTCAGTAGCTCAACGTGTGGCAGACGAAATGGATTTCAAACTTGGTGAAGAAGTTGGTTATAACATACGTTTTGAAGATTGTTCTGGCCCAAAAACCATTCTTAAATATTTAACTGATGGTATGCTTCTACGCGAAGCAATGAATGATCCAAATTTAGAAAGATACTCTGCTATTATTCTTGACGAAGCACATGAACGCACATTAGCGACTGATATTTTAATGGGATTGATGAAAAAGGTTAGCGCTATTACAATTCAATAAAGAATCAATTACTTCTTATACAGTATATTTATTTATGTAAACAAAATTTTTGGGTATTAAATTTATTTATTCAATTAAAAGATAGTAAAAAAACGTAAAGATTTGAAGGTTGTTGTAATGAGTGCAACACTTGATGCTGAAAAATTCAAAGGATATTTCAATAATTCTCGAGTATTGGTAGATTATTATTATCATTATCATCATCATCATCATTATTATCATTGTTGCAATTAATAATATCTATTGTATTAATATTTACAATATTTACTCTGGAAAAATCAAAGACTGTTCCTGGTAGAACATTTCCAGTAGAAATTTATTATACACCTCAACCAGAACGTGATTATTTGGAAGCTGCTATTCGTACAGTTATTCAAATTCATGTATCTGAGGATCCTGGTGATGTGCTGTTGTTTCTAACGGGAGAGGAAGAGATTGAAAGTGCTTGTCAAAAGATCAAAAATGAAATAGATACTTTATCAAAACAAGTTGATCTAGGTCCTTTGAAAGTTCTTCCTCTCTATTCTACTTTGCCACCTCAACAGCAACAGCGTATTTTTGAAGATCCTCCCCAACCTCTTAAAAAAGATGGAAAGGCTGGTCGTAAGGTTATTGTCTCTACAAACATTGCAGAAACTTCATTAACCATAGATGGAATTGTTTATGTAGTTGATCCTGGCTTTAGCAAACAAAAGGTTTACAATCCTCGTATTCGTGTTGAATCATTACTTGTAAGTCCTATTAGCAAGGCTTCTGCTCAGCAAAGAGCCGGTCGTGCTGGTCGTACACGTCCTGGAAAATGCTTTCGTCT